TTTGAAGTGTGTTTTTTATATTAAATTTTATGCTAATATGTAAGATTGGTATTTGTTAAAATAATTGGTCAATATATTTTCAATATTTTTTAACTAAATTGATTTTTTAATTTGTTTTCATATTTTTTTACTTTTACTTCCAATTGCTTTGCTCGTAAACATTTATTTAAACACTTTCGTTTACTCAGTTGTTTTATTTTCTTAGCTGTTTCGCTTGTAATTGCTTTTTACGCTTTTTGAACGGTTGAGTGAATTTCTATTTTTTATTATTTTCTTTGCACTTTGTTATTTGTAAATTTTTGTATTACCTAAACACGCTCAAGCTGGTGCTGATAAGTAAAATATTCATATTTAGGCACTAACATAGAAATTCTTATCGAACAGTATACGCCTAGACACATACAAGCCCAATGTTCTTATGGCATTTTGAAAGATAAGTGTCATACATTGTAAGTAAACTTTGTTAGCAGCGAAATATTTTTGTTGGTTTTAGCGGTTTTGGAGTTATGAAATCACTTGTGTTTTCATTTTCAAATATTTTTAATTTGAAATATTTTTGCTATTTATAGAACTATTTTATCATTATTAAGTTATTATAACTTATAATGTGGAATATTTTCGTTTGTATATTTTTAGGCAGAATATGTTATTATATTATATTATTATAATTTTTTTACAATAGTACAAATTCGAAAAAAATTTATAAATTTATATATTCAATTTATAAAATTAATTTATAAAATTTTTTTAGGTAAAAGAATTCTTTTTTGTTATTTTTGTATTTTTTGATAAATTATTTTAGTTGGTGAAAAAATTTCATCACTAATTTCTTTGCTTTTATAATTTTCCACAACTGAGAAAATCACCATTAAATCACTTAGTTTCCTCTAACGGACACTAGTAAAACACTTTGAACATCCGCAAGCGCACCGGAAGCGCGAATTTGCCTTCAAAGCACAGCGTTAATTTTGTTTTTGTTACGCCATTTAGCACTTTGATTTTCTTTTCACGCCACGCACCACCGTTACCTTTCATATGAGCGCACGAGTGCAACACCTTTGGCACCGTTTCGGTCACAAACCCTCCGTCCGCATGGAGGCTGATAACTCGACTAATTTAATGTGGCCAATTTAAATTGGCAATTTACGCGAAATGGGTGAGTGAGAATGAGAGCGAGCTAGCCGGCATGTGAGCGTGCTAAGTGCCAACCGTTAACGCCGCTAACACCCTCCCTAGGCCGGGTAGGTCTAGCGAGCAGTTCCAATTAATTGTCGCCTAAATGTGTTTGTGCAGGTGTAAGAGTGTTGGGCGGACGTTGCGAAATTGGCGCAGGTGGGCGGGGTACTGTACGGATTTTTATATGGCCGCGTACGTGCGGAAGCATTTTTTACCATTTAGAATCATTTCTTATTGTTACAGGCGACTGCGTAAGCTCTTACAAACACATGTGCACACACATACAGAAATGAAGGCAATCATACAGGTGCGCTGGTTGCACTGTCTGGCTATTTATATACATATATACGTTTTTTTATATATAAATGTCTGGTATGCACACATTAATAAATATATATATATATTTATAAATTCAGTGTCAAGCGTTGATAGTAATTGCTCTTATTGGCTTTGTAGTGGGATTTAAAGGTGTTAATTGTG